TTCCGAATAATTCTGCAAAGATAACCATCCCCCAGCCAAATTAATAAAAAACAGGACTAAATAGAAAAAATGTTAATTGATGAAGAAAAATAATCATACAATTATTTGATTGCATAGTGCACAACAGATGAAGAATTTTACTTAGATTTAGTCATGAGAGAAACACCAGGTAGTATTTAAATCTACCAGTTTAATATCAGACACTTTAAATACAACATTTTTAAAATTAATTATTAAAAAATACCGATCTTAAGTTATATCTAACCTGGGTTTACATTTAAATAAAACCAACTACTCAAGACTTCAGTTCATAGTACCTTAATGATTTGCCAATGAATATTTATTTACTCTAAGTTAATTAAAAACTTGGCCAAACTTAGGAAATCAAATCATTAAAAAATTGAAGAAAAAAGTTTTGATAAAATACCACTGAGAAAAATCACTTATTTTCCTTTGTTGCAAACCAACCAAGCTACTTGCCTATAAATTTAGATGAATTCCTTCGGCAACAACAAAGGAAACAAAAACTGCTTATGCTGCTACATAGTGAATGTGATTCTTTTATTTTTTCAATTTTATACACATCACTTCATATTCAATAAAGGAGATAACATAGCATTGGTAGCTGCTTACTCAGCTACTGAATATGTCAACTTAAGTCCTAAGATTTATGCAGTGTCTTATACAAACTCCACTGCTGGAACAGAAGAACACAAGCAACAAATAATTTGTGAGAGGCAAATTTTGGGTCCTTTTTTCTAGTCACGGTTTTAATACTCTCACCTTCAGAAAGCCAAAAGAGGGGCATACTGTCTGCTACTTGGAAACCTTGCAAACCACAGAGCTAAGGCTCAATAAGACCTACTTTGTGCCTTTACTAGGCTGAGGGAGTACAAAGTACACTAAGAAGATGCAAAAGGTTCCTCAGAGCAATTATGAAGATATGTCATCGCCCTGGCTGTTGTATTTCCCTGGCCAAAAATACTACATCATAACTCAGGTAGTGAGTTCTCAGCACTTGCGTTTCAAAGTTGAAATTAGGTTATGACTTAAATAATTACTAAAACTGATAAACAAATAGTAAAATTCTAAGGATACTAGTGTAAAGGGGTTTGCGCTCTCACTGAACTATCAAACTTATTTCAGTAGGTTTATGATATACATTGTATAGTAAAATTATGACAGTATCACACCGAATCACAGAATGCCAGGGCTTGGAAGTCACCTCAAAAGATCATCTAGTCTAGCTCTCTCCTATCAGAGCAGGATCACCTACAGTAGGTCACACAGGAACATGTCCAGGTGGGTTTTGAATGTCTCCAGAGAAGAAGACTCCACAACCTCCCTGGGCAGCCTGTGCCAGGGCTCTCAGAGGGAAAAAGTTTCTCCTAATATTTTTGTGGAACCTCCTATGTTCCAGCTTGTACCCATTGCCCCTTGTCCGGTCATTGGACATCGCTGAAAAGAGCCTGGCTCCATCCTCCTGACACTCACCCCTGACATATTCATAAACATTTACGAGGTCACCCCTCAGCCTCCTCTTCTCCAAGCTAAAGAGACCCAGCTCCTTCAGCCTTTCCTCATCAGGGAGATGTTCCACTCCCTTAATCCTCTCTGTGGCTCTGCCCTGGACTCTCTCAAGCAGTTCCCTGTCTCTCTTGAGCTGAGGGGACCAGAACTGGACACAATATTCCAGATGTGGCCTCTCCAGGGCAGAGTAGAGGGGCAGGAGGACCTCTCTCGACCTACTAGCTACTCCCCTTCTAATACAGCCCAGGATGCCATTGGCCTTCTTGGCCACGAGGGCACATTGCTGGCTCATGGGCATCCTCCTGTCCAACAGGACCCCCAGGTCCCTTTCTCCTACACTGCTCTCCAGCAGGTCGGTCCCCAACCTATACTGGCACATGGGGTTATTCTTTTCCAGGTGCAAGACTCTACACTTACGCTTCTTGTATTTCATTAAATTTCTCCCAGCAATTCCCTGGTTAACCATGCAGGTCTCCTAGCTTGCTTTCTTGATCTCCTCCCTGTTGGAATACACTGATCTTGAGCTTCAAGGCAGAGGTCCTTAAATAATAACCAACTATCCTGGGCCCCTTTACCTTCCAGTTCCCTGTCCCATGGCGTTTCCCTTAGCAATTACTTGAAAAGGCCAAAGTTGGCCCTGCTGAAGTCCAGAGTTGTGACCCTGCTTGATATTCTGTTCCTATCACACAGGATCCTGAACTCTACCGTCTCACGGTCGCTGCAGCCAAGATTGCCCTCAACCTTCACTGCTTCAACCAGACCTCCCTTGTTGGTGAGCACAAGGTCCAGCAGCGCTCCTCTCCTGGTCAGCTCATCAAGGCACTGGAGGAACCTCCTGGACTGAGGATGGCTGGCTGTGTGGGCCTTCCATCTAATACCTGGGGAGTTGAAATCCCCCATGAGAACCAGGGCCTGTGATCGAGAGGCTGCTGTCAGCTGCCTGTAAAAGGCCTCATCAACATCCTCATCCTGATCAGGTGGTCTGTAATAGATACCGACCACAGTATCACCCGTTATATTGCTTATGGTTTAAAAGTCACCAATGTAATGACTACCACTAATTAATTAATGCTTATAACATCACTTTCAAGCAGGATGCTCAGCATTTTTTTATTTAACCTGAAAGGCACCTTCCTCTCCCTTCAAGGACGTAGACTGGCATAAAGAATATTCCTCAACATAAGACTTTTCATGTTTCTTATCTTGAAGAACATATGTCTCTGTTTTGTCTGAGATTTAAAATGCAAGATAATTTTTGCCTCAGTCACTACCTATGCTAAAGGTGTTGGGTCATGGAAACAGAAGCTAACCTGGATTCAGTTTTCTGTCCTCCTCCCAGTCACAGAGGCAGGTGTCTGGTGAGGAGCAGATCTGCCATGGAGCAGATCACGCTGCTCTGGAGCTGTGCCCAGCAGAGGTCAGCCCCGTGCATTTGCCCTCACACAGAGGTACTGAGAACACAAGAAGCCTCCACCAAGTGATGTAAAATTACTGATGCACATAGTTAACAGCTCGGTGCTTTCAGAGTGTGGAATCAAGCTGCTAATAGATGTGAATAACATGTTCTCCAGAATCAATATAGCAGCAAATTTCATTGCTAATGCTGACAATTTGTATTGCTGAAACAATGAAGACAATGATATAAGTGAAAATGGCTGTTTCCCGCCTTCACAGCTAATCACTTTGAATACAGACTACAGTGGACCTGCAGTTCAGCCATTGAGATACAGCTGAGTCAAAAGATATAGGAGCTATGAATTCACAAGGAGTAAAAGGAAAAAAAACCCCACAATTTGTTTTCTGATAACTCTTAAGAGCTCAGGAAATGTACATAAATAAAATTAAAACTAAGACAAGACCTTCTTTGGAAGTTTATCAAAAGAAATATTAAATTTAAGTAAAATTAGAAAAAAGGTAGCAAGTGAGCTTCTGTGAGCAGGGGAAGAGTTGATTAATCTCAAACACCTTTGGTGATTATTTTTTTTCTTTAGATTTTAATATGAAAAATTGCTTGGAAGAAAGCAGGGTAACAAATAAGAATTTCTAACCATCAGTATAACTGAGGTTGATAAAATTCAAACAGCTGATTTTGCTCTAGGGCAGGAAATTTCATGTAAAATTGTTCTCGCAATTCTGAAACACACCCCTGTATTCACTGTTTCTTATATTTAAAACACAGCTGGAGATGACCACAAGAAACTCAACCCAGCTTTGACATTGGCACTACCTTGATGATGGTGTTGGAAAGGAAGATCTCCAGAGGTCACATCCAGCCTGCACTGTTCTGTGACATCACATAAATAGGAGCAAATAAACTGGTGTATCTCATTATAGGAAATATATTTTAAATGAAATAATAATGACATATATGGGAAAAACAGGCAATTGCTTGAAATGCTTCTGAGAAAGTCATTAGTGTTTGAAAAGGCACGTCCTAGAACCATTGTAAGATGATTAAGAACCAGCCAATATCAGCCTGAAATTAGGAAATAAATGATTGAAAGACAATTGGTAATTAATTCTCCAAAGCTTTCATTTCTGGATGTTGGACCAAAAATTATCATATTTAGTAATAGTAGAAAACTGGCAGGGATTGACATACAGAAGAACTAAGGTATAATATGAAGATGGCTGAATAAGACTTTGAAAATGGAAGTCATGCCCTAAAGGCTCCATATGGTATTTTTATGTGCAAAATACGTACTTCTGTGCAAAACTAAGATTATTTTTTTCTTTAAATTAAAATCTCAGGGTTAATCAGCTGGAGATAACAGGAAGGAAAAGACAAGATTGTAATTAGTTGCTTTTGTGGTGATTGAGAGATAGTAGTTTTGTTTATAGCGTTTTTTACCAGGTTCCAAAAAAGATAAGTCCAAGTGAAAGCAAATATAGAAAATGGGTATTATCAAGATAAGTCAGGGAACTGATATAATATCTTATAGGAGAAGAACAAGAGAGCACTGCTAGTTCAACTAGCAAAAGAAATAAAGGAAGGGTATAAAAATGCTGTCTATACATCTATCAGGAGGAATAAACACAAGGAAGAACAAGAACTGTTCTAAAGACAATACAGGTGTAAGAAGACATAGATCTGTGTTAAACATGAATAAATTTAGACTGCAAGTTAGGAGAGAGATTTTAACCAGAGTACTGAGGTACTAGAACGAACCCCAGTAGAAATAGTAAAAACAACTATTTCTAAAAAGGAGCTGAATGATAATATTAGAAAAATTGTCTTATATGGTTGTCTGAAAAAACAGAACTGAATTAAAGAAATCCTTTCCATTTCTGTATTCTTAAGTGTGTTCAAAATCAAAATCAACTCTTGTCATTTTGTAGCTTTCTTGTAACTATTCTTTCAAAGTAATGATAAAAGGTTTATTTTTTCTCCAGACTTTGAAATTATTACACAAAATACTCCCTGACTGCCTATTCTCCCTAAAGTTTTAAGATAATTTTTGGCCCAATTTGCCTGAGCAGAAACTGATGGTTAACATTCCAAACTACACTGTAATTATAAACACTCATTCTTATTATTTTTCCAAAAACATTGTCCGACAATTAAAATTTGCTCTTCCAAGGAAAATATGAATGCACTTGCCTAGTCCAGTAAAAAAGAAAATGGAACAGTTCAGAGTGAGCAGCACACCATTTCCAAGTTTGACATAGCTTGCAGTTCAGTAAGAAATATAATATATTGCAATGTATCTCATTGGGTAAAGAATATGTGCATTAAAATAAAAATACTCAGCTCTAAAGAGCCTTAAATAATATAAGCCAACTTGAAAAATATTAATTAAATCTAAATACTTATTTCAAAATATATGGCAGATTCTATGGTAGTGACTTAAAAAAGATATTGCATCTATTTACATAGAAATTTAATATTCCAAATTTAATAATTAAGAAAATCTTACCTTCTTAGCCCTTCCACTTTTCTCTGGAAGGGGAAAATGGTCTTCTAGGAATTTTCCCAGAGCATTCAAGAGTTCTTCCTTAAATGTTTTTAGTTTTGATGCTTCATTGTGCAGTTCATTAAATATGCTGGCATTGAAATAGTAAAAACATAGCAACAGAATACGAAATTCAATAAAATAAGCATTCTTCTTAAGTAAAAAAATCCCCTATGTTCTACTGTTATAAGTTCAAGATCTTGAATGACAGGCAATATCTGCCATGTTTCAAATATGTATTACTGAGATATTATTTGATCTATTTAACAAAACAAGAACCATTTTAAGAGTTTGTCTGCTCACTTGCTCTTGCTGATATTTAAATTATTCATTATAAAATCTCAACACTGTGGAAATACCTGTTTTTGGAAAGTTCTTCAGTTTGAGTTTTTTCCCTTTCTTCAATTCGTTCAAGAGCAGCTGCTATCTGCTCCTGCTCCTCATACCACTGCTGTTCCCTTTGAAACATGAAAAGTAGGAAATGGCACAACAGATAAATAGTTTTCTGGACAGACAGAAAGAAACGTGTGGTAAAAAAGCTTACAGCATTAATAAGTCCAAACTATTACCTGTTTAGATCTTCGTCCAGTTGTTTATTCTTTACCCGAAGAGCTGACAGCACCATTTCAAGTTCCTTTTTCACTTTCTGTAACTATAAAAAAGTAAAATAAACCTATAGCCACAGTCTGTATTATTTGTTCTGTGTAAGGCTACATCTGTTAATCTGGAAAAGGACCAATATCATCTCCAATTTCTTAAGAAATATGGCTATAGAGCAACACACTCATCTTTAAATCTGTTTGGAGCTACAGTTGCCCATTAGTGTCTTACTGAAGCTCTGTAAAACAACATTGCTGATTTTACCTGAAACAGGTTATAAAGCACATGCATGAACTGCTCATCTGATGAAAGACTGAGGACAAAACATCTGCAGCACCAGGGCTGTGGTGTCTAAATCATTGGCAGACACTTGCAAGAATGAATCCATGCCAACTGCAACAATTTAAGATGTATAGCACTCAGAAAACAAAGATGCTGCAAAGAAAGACTAATTCCATCCATGAATTAAATGGTCCTCAGTAGTATTGACGTATTTGGGAAAGGAAAGAAGGAAAAATAATACTGCAGCCAGTAGCTATATGCACTGCTGAAGACAGGGAACAGTGGACACTCAGTGGACTCAGTCGTTCATTAGTGCATTATGTTCTACAAAACAGTATTTCTAATACCTTATGTTTTTTAAAATATAGACCTATGATTTCAATGTATTGTATCTCCTTCCATACAAACTATGAGAAATTTTATATTTTGATCGAAGAAATAAAAATTGTGAAAATATTCTGCAGAAGCAAATATGCTCTATATATGCAACATCTGAAAAAAAAAAGGAATCCTCAGCAAAAAAGGGTACAAAATGGGATACCAGATCAAATGTGCCATAGCAATATAGTCAAACAGAAGTGTGTAACTAACCAACTTGTTACTAGTGACTCTTAAAGCAGTTGGGCTCCCTGCTGAGTGATACTAGAAGAAGAAAAGCTGCTAGGAAGAAGAAAACTAAAAATTTTGATTTGTTGTTTTGTCTTCATCCATAGCCACCAGAATATTCTCAGGTCATGTTGCATATCAATGTCCAATCAATATAGCCTAACTACTCCTAATATATTCTCGATTTACTCTTTCTTCCAACACTGAAAGAACTCAAATTATTTGCAAATTATAGCCACAGAACTCTAGACCTAAAAATACTGACTCTTCTGTGTAACACATTATATTATTATATATCAAGTATGAAATGCAGTTTTGTTTAAAAGATCATTCATTATAACTAGGAAATTTTAGTAGTTATAATACAAGGGAAGAAAAACATTAGAAGGATAGCCATAACTGAAAAAACCAGTTCTGTCTGATATCTTGATCAGTGATCTGGATGAGGGGATCGAGCACACCCTCACCAAGTTTGCAGACAACATGAAGCTGGGCAGGAGTGTTGATCTGCTGGAGTAGGGATGCTCTGCAGAGGGATCTGTACAGGCTGGAGCAATGGGCTGAGGCCAGTTGTATGAGGTTCAACAAGGCCAAGTGCCGGGTCCTGCCCTTGGCTGACAACAACCTACAGGTGGGGAGGAGTGGCTGGAGAGCTGCCCCGTAAAAAAGGCCCTGGGGGTGTTGATGGACAGCCGGCTGAACAAGAGCCAGCAGTGTGCCCAGGTGGCCAAGAAGGCCAATGGCATCCTGGCCTGTATCAGAAATAGCGTGGCTAGCAGGACCAGGGACGTGATCCTGCCCTGCCAGTTGGCACCGGTAAGGCTGAGGTCACACCTTGAATCCTGTGTTCGGTTTTGGTCCTCTCACTCCAAGAAACTGAGGTGCTGGGGTGTGTCCAAAGGGCAACGAAGCTGGTGAAGGGTCTAGAGCACAAGTCTTATGAGGAGTGGCTGGAGAAAAGGTGGCTCAGGGGTGACCTTACCACTCTCTACAACCTGAAAGAAGGTTGTAGCAAGGGGGGGGTTGGTCTCTTCTCCCAAGTAACAAGGGATAGGACAAAACGAAATGGTCTCAAGTTTTTCCAGGGGAGGTTTAGATTGGACATTAGGAAGACTTTCTTCACAGAGAGGGTTTCAAGCATGCTGTCAGGCTGCCCGGAGAAATGGTTGAGTCACCATCCCTGGATATATTTAAAGGACATACAGACACGGTGCTTAGGGATGTGGTTTAGTGGTAGGGCTGGCATTGCTAGGTTAGTGGTTGGACTTGATGGTCTTAAAGGTCTTTTCCAGGCTAAACAATTCTATGATTCTATTAAAAATGTTCATTTAAAAGAATTGAGAACATTATGATATGCTGAATTTTTTAACCCATGTGATCCCTCAGCTTTATACTGAACATGGCAGATATGAAATGGAACACTTTACTGGTCAGTTTTGAGTCACTTGTCCTGTTCTCTCCTCCTTAAACGTGAAACTTTTTGCTTCCTTGGGACCCTTTTACTTCCTGGCACTCTCAGTGTGGCACACAACATCCAGCAGTGACCTTTGTCCCTACAGGAGCAAGTATCAGCAAAAGCCTTTCTGCATCCCAGTCCCTGGTAGTAATGATAAACTTCAAGCATTATCACTGTTAGCAGCAGACATTGTCTGTGAAAACATGTTGTTGACTTCACAAAGTGCCATCTCTTAAAAGAGACAGAGCTGAAAAGTAAAGAACAGATTCGGTTCTGGTTTAGCTCAGATCAGGACATTATATAATGAGAAGCTAATACTTAAGAACCCGCCATATAATTTTTTTGTAACTCAAAAAATAAACAGCACTTTTACTACCTATCATCACATATTTTTTCATATTACAGCAGTACACACACCAAACTCTTTTTTTTCCAATCTAAACAATTATTTGATTCTGTGAATATACACAGTATCTTAGCAGTAGTCCACCACAGCTGTACTCATAGGAAAATTCAGCAATTGTATATACTTTTTTTCATTTTTTTCAAGCAAATTTTATTATCTCTTAACAAAGAAAAAGACTTACCTCTTCTCTTCCCACTGTTAACAATACATCTGGATTGGCAGAAATTACTGAAAAAATAAAATTAATTGGATGATACAGACTTGTTCATACTGAAAAGCAGCCTGGCTAGAGAGAAAATTGGGTAGCCTCTAAAAAACTAGCCTGGCTGTCAGCAGCTGTTTAACCACATTTTGTGATCTCCTGATGTGCTAGTCTACTGTCACTTTTCAGCAAGTTAAATTAGACTGAAAAAAATGTGGTGCTAATGCTTCAGCATTATTTTTTTATACTTGAATTAGCTCAGGTGTATAGGTACATAAGCAAGCCTGGTTTTCTTTCAGTGGAAGGGATTCCATCAACACTACCAATGTGGGCAATCAAATTCTTTCACTCTTCCAATTCCTTGTTGAACAGTCTTCAGATGCTTGATGAGGACTGTAAAACCTATCAGATTCAAAGAACTTAAAATGCATGTCACCATCCTTGCTGTTCACAAGAACAGCTACATGCAGGGAGATGAAAGACCCAGCAAGGCCAATATTGTAACTCCAACCCTGCACAACATCAGTACTGAAGGGAAAGAACAGTACTATTTAAGGATGTGGTAATGTTTCCCCAGAATGCTTCTGCAAAATGCCACATCTTCCTGGGAGAGAAATCACTAACCCTAATTTAATGAAGGAAGAGTGCAGATCAAAGGCACATTTATGGTAGCTGCTACTTTAATGAACATGAGTTGCTCTATCCACAACCAGATAGAGCTTTTTTAGTCACGTATAACTACACTTTCAAAATCAATTGTCAAACAGAAATGCCTAGTAACATATAGTACAATTGCTAAGCAAAATACTACCAGGTGTTAAGAATGTAAAAGGAACTACTGTGCACATGTTTATACAGAAACTCCTATTAAAATAAGAGTAATTTAGTGGAATACCAATACTTTGTGAAAAAAATAAGAAACTATGTAGAGACCACAACTGGTTTATACGGTCTAAAATATGGTTGCTTCTACTTCCATATTTTGCAAAGGTAAAAGCTAAGTTCTATTTTTATGAGCCAAATGCTTTTTAAAAGGTTTTAATTCAGCTGATTTAGCAGTTCTAGAGCTACATAAATAGTACCAGAAATTGAGAAATAAAATGAGACTAACGTAAAAGCTGGGCAAAAATAAGATATGCATTGTGAATTGAAGTCTATTTGCCAATATTGTGCCCATAGAAATGTAGAACAGCCAGGTTATAACCCCTAAAAATAAGGTTTAAAATTGAAATGCTGACAGACATTCATTTACAAGAACTGGCCCTTACTAAGAGCAGAAACCAAAGTAACAGGACGGCCTGACATTCATGCCCTATTAACACATTGTATGAGATTAGTATTTGACAGAATCTCACAGAATGTTAACAGTTGGAAGGGACCTCCAAAGATCTAGTCCAGGCCCCCTGCCAGAGCAGGATCACCTACAGTAGGTCACACAGGAACGTGTCCAAACAAGTTTTGAATGTTTCCAGAGAAGGAGACTCCACAACCTCCCTGAGCAGCCTGTGCCAGGGCTCCTTCACTCTCACAGGGAAAAAGTTTTTTCTAATATTTTTGTGGAACCTCTTGTGTTGTATCTGTTGTCCCTTGTCCTGTCATTGGACATCACTGAGAAGAGCCCGGCTCCAGCCTTCTGACACTCCCCCTTGACATATTCATAAACATTTATGAGGTCACCCCTCAGCCTCCTCTTCTCCAAGCTAAAGAGACCCAGCTCCTTCAGCCTTTCCTCATCAGGGAGATGTTCCACTCCCTTAATCCTCTTCGTGGCTCTGCGCTGGACTCTCTCAAGCAGTTCCCTGTCTCTCTTGAGCTGAGGGGACCAGAACTGGACACAATATTCCAGATGTGGCCTCACCAGGGCAGAGTAGAGGGGCAGGAGGACCTCTCTCGATCTGTTAGCCACCCCCCTTCTAATACAGCCCAGGGTGCCATTGGCCTTCTTGGCCATGAGGGCACATTGCTGGCTCATGGGCATCCCTGGTCCCTTTCCCCTACACTGCTCTCCAGCAGGTCGGTCCCCAACCTGTACTGGCACATGGGGTTATTCTTTCCCAAGTGCAAAATTCTACACTTGCCCATGTTAAATGTCATAAGATTTCTCCCTGCCCTGCCTCCAGCCTGTCCAGTTCTCTCTGAATGGCAGCACAGCCTTCTGGTGTGTCAGCCACTCCTCCCAGTTTTGTGTCATCAGCAAACTTGCTGATAGTGCTCTCTGTTCCCTCATCCAGGTCATTGATGAATATGTTGAACAGCACTGGCCCCAGCACTGACCCCTGAGGGTCCCCACTAGACACAGGCCTCTAGCTAGACTCTGCCCCATTGACTACAACTCTCTGACTTCTTCCCTTCAACCCATGAGCGACCCACCTCACTACTTGGTCATCCAGACCACACTTCCTCAGTTCACCTATGAGGATGCTGTGGGAGACCGTAGACTGCTCGTTTGCATGCAAGCACCAGAGCTCTACTCAAATTCTTAGCAGCAGCTTCTTTTGTTTTTTTTTCTTCCCTCAGAAAGATAACCAAAAAGGCAAAGTTTTGGCTGCAAAACATTATTTGCATTATAATATGCATAGATAATTTCTCTAGTACAAAAATTAAGATTTCTAATAATAAATCTTATCATCTGGGAACAAGTAAGAATGGTTGAACAAAGCAAGTGAGAAAGCCAGTAAAAATAGGTCAAGCCTGAAGAATATTTTTATGCAAATAGCCTGAAGCTCAAAATAATTACATATTTTAGTAAGGAGATTTAACATCTCCAGGCATTTTACCCAGATAAATGCTCTAAGTTCTTTCAGTTCATTTGCCTTAAGTCAACAGCTTATTCATGAGCAGCAGCCAAGAACCAGTCTTTCCCAAATTCATTCAATGCCATACTTTCAGTGCACATACATCTAAGAAGCATTTGAGGCTGACCATTCCTAGAGATAGGCTTACAAAGCAAATGAACTACGCATTTATTCTAATAGAGAAACAATATCTAGTTAAAAGAAAGAACAACTGTTTTTTCCCAGCTCCCATTATTTGATCATGACATGCATCAAGCATGTGAACTTTGAATGAAGCTCAGGAAGGATCATCTGAAAACACAGTTTGTCCAAATGATGATATATTAGAAATCACCATTTACTGTCTAAAACACATTCCTATCATTTTCTAAAAATTAAAAGTGACAAGCATCTTCTGTCATAAAAACATTCAAGTGTGTCAATGTATTCATTGAAAGATTAACTAGTAAGTTTTACTGAGTTGAAAGGTGCTAAATGGGTCCTGTTAGGAGACAGTGAGTACTACCAGAACACTAATGAGATTACAGTGTGAACTGTTCAGGAGTCTCCATACCAGACATCTGAAAAAAACAGTTCACTTTAGTTACACTTAGATTGTGAATGGTTTTCTTTTCAGTGTCTGGCCACATAAGCCTTGAAAGAAAGTGAAATCAGTCAGGATTGATGCTTATGTACAGAAAGAACTTTGAAGAACCGAGCAGTTTACACCTTTTGGCTGATAATGCCTAACAAATGTAAGAGTGACCATTTGTCTCAGTGGTTTGTACTTCTCAGGATCAGGAAGTGAGATGGGTTCCTGTGTTGTTAAAATAAACTACATATATTTCACCTGAAATCTTTGATGCCTGTTAAATACAATATAGATTTTTATTACAATCTAATAGCCTTACTGTAAAAAGTTTACTTCAAAGTTTCAGCTAATACATCATCACATGACACACTTTCACAAAGCATTAATTAGAAAACAAAAATTGAAGGAGTTACGGTTAAAAATATGTCTAGGAAAACTATTGTTAGTTTATTAGCAATAATTGCAAAGATTAAAAAAAATCAGCTTCCTAAAAGAAAAAAACTGAGAAAATTATTTGTGAGAGAACTTCTGTTCTAAAAAGGAGATGCAAATGAAAGATGAAAAAACAATCACAGAAGGGAGAAACCTGAAGGAGGGTAACAGCATAATGAATTTTTGTTATTCTGTTAGGAGATCTGCTAATAGTTATTTTTGCATTTAGCTGACTGATAAATGGCGATATAAATCATGTATCTATTTGTCCAGAATCATAAGATTAATTTGATACATACACAGTTTAGGATGCCTAGATGAAGAAGACTTTGCAGAAGTTTAGGTGAGGACACCCGACAGTTACTTACTTTCAGGACTTCTTTTTTGCCATTCATTATATTCCGCTGTAAAAGCTTTCACTTGCATCATTAACAATGAAAGCTGTAAAACAAGAAAAGAAACATCTCTTGAAGTCTGTTGAGTTGTACTGGAGTAAAATGAGATAGAACAGGATAGAAATTCAGCTGAGCGTAGCGCTAACAACACTAACGTTGCGGGTTCAATTCCCGTTTGGTCCCCATGTGTTGCCTGATCTAGTCGAGAGGTGGCGTCCCTGGCAGCAGGGAGGCTGGATTAAAGTGATCTCTAAGGTCCCTTCCAGCTTAGGCCATGATATGATACGATAAACAAAAAAAGATTGGCTTTCAAAACATCAGTAATCAAATAAATATCATACCAAAACTACAGGTGGGGAATTAGCTCAAATGGTAGAGCTTAGCATGCGAGAGGTAATGGGATCATTGCCCGCATTCTCCAGCGTATGTTTTCAACATTTATTTCATTACAAACTAAATAGCAGCATTTAAAAATATTTCCTATTTACACTTAATTTGGGGGGCTGGTTAGCTCAGTGGTTTGAGCGTGGTGCTGACAAGGACCAACACAGAGGTCGCGGGTTTGATCCCTCTTCGGTCCCCATGTGTTGCCTGATCTAGTTGAGAGGTGTCCCTGCCCATGACAGGGAGGTTGGATTAGATGATCTCTAAGGTCCCTTCCAGCCTAGGCCATTCTATGATTCTGCATCTGTGGACTCAACAAAAATGCTTTAGAACTAGTGCTCTAGCTCACTGTAATCACAAAAAATATAGAAGCAATAAGAAAAAAGACCAGTTCAGGAAAGTTTATTAAAAAATCCAAACTAAACAACAATATATTTTTAAAAATGTACTTACTTTAATATCTTACTGTGTTCTGGAGAAAGAATACAGTTGCAAGGAAAAGAGTATGTGAACCTTTTGGAATTTCATGGTGTTCTGCATTAATTTTGTCATAAAATGTGATCTAACCGTCATCTAAGTCAAGAGTATTGACAAATACAATATGCCTAATATAATAACATAAAACCAGTTCTGATCCATTTGGCTGCCTATGTTAGTCATTTACTTGTGTGGCAGGACTGCATGTAATATTTTTGCTATACCTAAGTGCAACTCTACAGTATCTGCTAGACACATATTTCAGAATACAGCTTCAAAGTTAACAGATAAAGCTGTCAACTTTAGAGAGCAGGTGAAGATAATTTAGTTTGCCTCTTTTGGAAACACGTTATATCTACAGAAAACTAAGTACTTTGTGGAGAACAAGAAGAAAATAAAATACTGCCTTACCTTGGCATCTGATTTTAGCAGTGTGTGTGTCTGTAGAAGTGTTAGCTTGTTCTGACACTTGGTAGAAAACAAATAATAAACATAAACAATGCTTACTCTTCCCTTTTGGAAGAAAACCCCACAATGCTTAGAAATTCCAGCAAGAATTGTTTAATATAGGAATAAAAGAGTTTTCATTTGTCCCCTACCACCTCCCTTAAAGCCTGACCCAGAACAGCAAATTAGTAAATATTTTGAAATCAATCCAGAATAAAAAAGTACAACTTCAATTAACTGAAAAGTAGAAAAGTAGCAGTTAACAAAATGTTTATAATTTGAGGGAAAAGTTATGAGGTAAAAGTTGATATGGAGAGAGTCACAAACAGATGAAGAACATGAGAAACTGGGAAGGCAGTATTACAGACAAGCTGTTGAGAAGTTAACATACTTGCTGCTACTATTCTGGCTCTCCAAACAGAACAATCAAACACAACAATCCAAACAAAAACCATTTTTAGTTTAAAGTGATTTAGGGCAATGTACTGTGCACTTTGGAAACGGTCTGATTTTTAGAAGTGCACTACCTCAGCTCCCATGACTGCAATGGGATGTTTATCAAGTCTCAAATTCAGGCCACCAGAGATAGCCAAGGCTTCAGCATGAGACACCTGTTAAATTTGTTCTTCTTTTGTAAGTCAGCAACTTAACCTGCCCCATGACAGGGCAGAATGTATTATATCAAGCAGTAAAACTACTAAGCAGTACTTTGTCTTGCTGTTAGTGTTTTGGAACTAAAACACAATATAGGATTTCTCCAATAAAAACTGCTGAGGTTGACTCACAACCACTGGAACATTACATTAAAAACTATATAACCTAGGAACTAATTCAGTGACTGTTTGTTGTTTAAACTGTTTGCTGAAACATGTGTGCACCTAGGATGCAACAATCAGGAAGTAATAAAAATTCTGGTTTTATCAGCTTCCAAAAATGTCAGACATTATCACTTCCTGTATTGTTTTGGAGTTGCTGGGAACGAGATACGAGATATCAAAGATTTTCAGATAAATTCAAAATAATAAACATTCGAACTTCCCTTCTAACCTGAAAATTTTAAAGAAAAGTTCACATCCTCTGAAGTGGTATCAATCAAAACTTCTTTTGATAACTTATGACAATACTTCAGAAACAGACATAGGATTCGTTGTACTGTGGGCTGTCTATATTTTGTTCTACTTTAAGGTTAGAATTATTTTAATTCAGTTTCTGTTACCTTAAATGCTTTGAATCTACAATCTTCAAGTAAATAGTATATAAATATCACATAAAATTGAGAGAAGCATTTAAGACTCTCAAAGTGTAATTTAGAACACGAGCTTTCATCAGACTCAGCAGAACATTACAGGATGCATAGCATTCCCTCAAAAGTTTATAACTCCTGGATTCCTGCAAATAAAAATAACTCACTCTAAAATGTTATTAGCATATTAGACCATATATTGAGAGAAATAAATTTTATTATTAAGGATGTAATGTAATTGTCAGTTTACATGAACGTATGGTAATATTTCTACCCTGCTAAGCCTCTTGCTCCTCCCATTCTCTCTCCTGTAAGATCCAAAGCACATGTGAACAGTAGCTGAATCCCATCTTGCAGGAGGCCAAAGTAAGGATCTCAAGTCTTAGTGTGCTGATACTACCAGAACAAAAGTAAATAGCTTCATTTTCCCTAGTTTTAATATACACCCCCATTCTGTTTAACTAAATCGTAACATCAACAAAATGTAAACAAAGTTTGACGAGGCAAGGAATTCTTAACCCCTGCCAGCACTTCTACCTTTGTCCCTTCTGCAGGTCTTTTTCCCTCCCCCCTTCCTTTTTTTCTCTCTTGCTTTGTTGCAGTAGTTTCTTTGGAGGAGGTGAGGTAAACATACAGTGAAGGATGAGGAGATGAAAAGAAAAAAGCTGAGGGAAGTTCACAACAAATCTAGTCTTATCAGTTGTGATTTGGGTACCTCTTCCATTTGATTCCAAATACTCTCACATTCAGCCATGAGTTCTTCCTTGGCATCTGAGTCATTGACAGCTTCTGGTAAATATTCAGCCTATTATCAAGTAAACAGAACAGTTACCATGAATATTTACAATAATTATTAACATGTTATTGAATCATACCTTCTACTTTAGGCCAAATACGTAACACAGAAATCCCTCTAAATCCAAAGCTTTCAATTAACTCCCCTGTATTTCTAGATAGCATCCAATCATTCAGTAAAATCAGCTAACTATATTACTGTAGCAAAATTTGAAGACACTAATAATGTTTTTTTAAAAACATTCACAAAATCTTAAATTTTCAGAACTGCTTTGCCTATCTACAATGGCATTTTTTATTTTCTGACCACTATATTACAGAAACAGTAATAGAATTTTACATGTACAAAATCACACGTTTCCATATATCTTAAGCATAGTTAGATCTGCTCTGTCTTCTAATAAATGTCCTAATCTATTTCTCTTTATGACAGCTTGAATTCAGAATCTTTTTGATTAGCAAATTAAAGTATCCGGGAGGTTAGTAGAAAAACAAACGAAAGAATATTTCTCTTCATGATAGCTTGACTTCAGAATCAGACTCAGCAGAAAAATCAATCCAAGCTAAATTAAGAAGTTTGAGAAGTTGTTGGGGCAAATAGAAACACATACAAATTCAGAAATTAAATTCTAGTTATCTCTATAAAGAGATACATGAACGACAATAACAATTAAGAGGGAAAATAAAAAAAAAGGCCAAAATGGCACTCAGATGGAAATTTTTTAAGGTAAAGCAACTAATAAGAACTTCCTAGATGTACAAGAGGCTTTTTAAGGCTTAAAAAATCCTTAAATGGAGTATTAAGTCGATGCTGAGGATTAGGGCCGGGCTGGTCACCGAACACTGACAGATCCTCTCTACCCTCTCTCCCTCCCCAAACAGGAAAGGAGTAAGGCAGAGACTTATGGATTAGGAAAGAAAACTAACCCACTTTTAATAAAACAATAGTAATACTAATACGGGAATAATAAAAATAAATAACTATATGCAAATATACACAAATCCGGTAACAAACCCGACTCCCTCCTCCCCCAGTAGCAATCCCCACTGATGCTGCAGCGCAGGCGGCATCGAGGCAGCCCAAGGCCGAGCAGCAGAGGGGAACCGGCACAGAAGGGGATTTGGGAACTCAGGATGGGGATCAAAGGCAGAAGATTGCACGGAGTCCTCCTCATACATCAGCCCTTGGATCCCTCCCGGGCCGCCCGCCGCTGGAGAAGACTCTCCCGTCAGAGTCTTAACACCCGTGATCCCTCAGTTTCGTACTGAATACGACACACGTGGAATGGAATTCTCTTGCTGGACACCTGTGCTGTGTGTTAAGTTTGTGGAGGCTGCAGC